CCATTTCAACCCCTAAACATTTGACGATCATCTCCAAAAGCAATAGGGTTCTATTCTGGTCCAAGCCCCACCTACATTCTAAATTTCGTGAAGATCGGACCATAATTGCGACCTGTAGAGTGATTACAAATTAACATGGACAGACGGACAGACGGACAGACGGACGGACGGACATACATAGCTAGATCGACTCAGCTCGGCGAGCTAGGAAGATCCATATATACTTTCCTATATGGGAAATCAATATTTCGAGGTGTTACATAAATTCTGGCCCAATCAAACTTATAATACCCCCAACACATAGTGTTGTAGGGTATAATAAAGAAAGGCCAAGAGTCGGGCGGGACGACTTTATGATACTCAATATCACTATGATTATTAGGTACTAAAAATAAATAATTGTTTATATTTCGAATTAATATGAAGTAGATAATACCAACTATGATTGTTATTTAATCTATATTACGGCTTTAGAGAAAATATAATTTTGAACCGAAAGGTACTAATATATGAGAGTTATATCCCACTCTGAATCGATCTCCACTAAATTTGATGGAGGCATTCCAAACCGATTTTCACCAAAATCCATCCTATTGGAGCTGATGATATATATGGGAGTTAAATCCAAATGTGAACCAACCTTTAAAAAACTCAACTATAATCTGAAAACCAGAAAGGAAAGATCAAAATTCGGGTGGGTCGACTATATGATACCATATACCACCATGCGTATAAATTCGTTTAAATATGAAATTTCAATTTGGCCTGATATTATATATATGGTGAGCAACAGCCGTAAAATCGAATGAAGGTGTATATCGAAGCTATATAAAAATCTGAACCGATTTCGATAAAATTTGGCAGATGTCTTCTCGAGCTGTATCTGATGTCTGGTATCAAATATCATTGTTGTGCAGTGTCTATTACGCATTTGAGGGACTATAACACCAAATCGAACGAAACATATATATGGAAGCTATAGCTATATCTGAACCGATTTTCACCAAATTCGATGTACTAGCTTCTAGACTGAAGTCAGTCGGAAGTGCCAAAATGCTGGTCATTTGGTGCACGTAAAATCGGATAAAAATATATATGGGGGCTATATCCAAATCTGATTCGATCTCGATAAAATTGGCAGATGTATTTTTGAGCTCTATAAGTTATCTGGTACCAAATATCATTCTTGTGTAGTGCATATTACGCATATGAAGAACTTTAAACTCCAAATCGGATAAAAAATATATATGGGAGGTATAGCTATAACTGAACCGACTTACAACAAATTTGAAGTACAGGTTTCTAGGACGAATTCAGTCGTAATTTCCAAAATTCAGTCCACATGCGCTGCCACAAGCCATTTGGTGCACAATAAACCTGAAATCGAATAAATGTGTATATGGGAGCTAAATCGAAATTTGAACCGATCTTGATAAAATCTGCAGAGGTATTTCTGGTCTGTATCTGATATCTGGCAAAAAATATCGTTCTTTTTGAGTACATATTACACATGTGAGGGACTTAAAACCTCAAATCGGATGAAACATATATATATGAAAGCTATAGCTATATCTGCACCGATTTTCTCCAAATTTGAGGAACTTGCTTCTGGGGTGCATTCCGCCGGAAGTGTCAAAATTCACTCAATTTGGATTAATATTAATCACCTGGGGAATAATAAATGTGAAATCGGTCGAAGATATATGTGGGAGCCATATCTAAATCTAAACCGATCTTGATAAAATTGGCTGATATTGGCCATTTGGTGCACAATTAATCCGAAGTCGTACTAAAATTGGAACGATACAGAGTATATGAGCGTCCCAGGTAACGAGACTACAGACGAAATGGTCAGGCTAGGATCCGAATCAACTACCATTGAAGTAGATAACTCGGTTAAACCACCAATGTGGTACTTCCTACAGGTTATTCACATACATTACTCTGAGAGAATCCAACAAAAATGGCTGGACGAAATGGGTTGCACCATCTCCAAAAGAATCTGGTCCACATTCTCAGAGAAGAGAACAAAATCGCTATTGTCATTGTCGAAACCCGATCTAAAGCTTATGGTCGGTATCATCACAGGTCACTGTAAGGTAAGAGCAATGACATCGAAATGGGATAGCGACGACATTGACTACTGTAGGATCTGTCAAGATGAAGAAGAAGTGCCACTGCCCAGCACACATTAATGTGAGACACAGGCTGGTGGTTGAACTAGTGTCACATGGTCTGTTTTCTTTTTCTAATACTGACCCTATAGTAATTCTTCAATTAGCCAAAAGATTCAAGTGGCTAAAGACGACACGGCAAATTCCTTAGCCGTAGATCACATTCTATTACTCTATCTTCTATCTTCACCCCCTTCTATCAACCATTTCTTCCTTTTTTATACCCCCCACCTTGGAAAAGAGGGTATATTAACTTTGTCATTCCGTTTGTAACATCCCTAAATATTCGTTTTAGACCCCATAAAGTATATATATTCATAATCAGCATAAAATTCTAAGTCGATTTAACGATGTCCGTCTGTCTGTCCGTCTGTCTGTCTGTCTGTCCGTCTGTCTGTCTGTTGAAATCACGATACAGCCCACATTATTTGACGTAGAGCTCCAAAATTTAGCAGAGCTATTTGCATTGTGTCTAGGATGGTTGGTATTGAAAATGAGATATATCGGTCCACGTTCTAGTGTAGTCCCCATATAACGGTACCTCCCGATATTCGGTATTTTGATGATTTATGCCACATTTTTTCACGGATTTGTCTTAAAATTGGTATTTATAGGTCATATTTGTAGGTCTGAGCGTGTGGCAAAACATTGCATGTATAGGTCCACGTTGTGGTATAGCCCCCATATAAAGGTACCTCCCGATATTTAGTATTTTAGTTTTTTTTACCACATTTTTTCACCGATTTGTCTAAAAATTGGTATTTGTGGGTCATAATGGTTTCCAGCTCCGGTGGCGGAACATTGCATGTATGGGTCCATAATTTGGTATATGATTTATGCCACATTTTTTCACGGATTTGTCTTAAAATTGGTATTTGTAGGTCATAGCGGGTCCCTGAGCGTGTGGCAAAACATTGCATGTATAGGTCCACGTTGTGGTATAGCCCCCATATAAAGGTACCTCCCGATATTTAGTATTTTAGTTTTTTTTACCACATTTTTTCACCGATTTGTCTAAAAATTGGTATTTGTGGGTCATAATGGTTTCCAGCTCCGGTGGCGGAACATTGCATGTATGGGTCCATAATTTGGTATATGATTTATGCCACATTTTTTCACGGATTTGTCTTAAAATTGGTATTTGTAGGTCATAGCGGGTCCCTGAGCGTGTGGCAAAACATTGCATGTATAGGTCCACGTTGTGGTATAGCCCCCATATAAAGGTACCTCCCGATATTTAGTATTTTAGTTTTTTTTACCACATTTTTTCACCGATTTGTCTAAAAATTGGTATTTGTGGGTCATAATGGTTTCCAGCTCCGGTGGCGGAACATTGCATGTATGGGTCCATAATTTGGTATATGATTTATGCCACATTTTTTCACGGATTTGTCTTAAAATTGGTATTTGTAGGTCATAGCGGGTCCCTGAGCGTGTGGCAAAACATTGCATGTATAGGTCCACGTTGTGGTATAGCCCCCATATAAAGGTACCTCCCGATATTTAGTATTTTAGTTTTTTTACCACATTTTTTCACGGATTTGTCTGAAAATCGGTATTTGTTGGTCATAATGGGTTCCAGCTCCGGTGGCGAAACATTGTAATTATAGGTCCACGTTTTGGTATAGCCCCCATATAACGGTACCTCCCGATATTCGGTAATTTGATGATTTTTGCCACATTTTTTCAGGGATTTGTTCGAAAATTTGTATTTGTTGGTCATAATTGGTTCCAGCTTCGGTGGCGAAACATTGCATGCATGGGTCCATGATTTGATATAGCCCCCATATAACGGTACCTCCCGATATTCGTTATTTTGATGGTTTTTGCCACATTTTTTCACTGATTTGTCTAAAAATTGGTATTTGTGGGTCATAATGGGATCCAGCTCCGGTGGCGAAACATTGTAATTATAGGTCCACGTTTTGGTATAGCCCCCATATAACGGTACCTCCCCATAATCGGCATTTTAATGGTTTTTGCCACATTTCTTCTAATGTTTCTTTTACCCTAAGGTGGAGGGTATTAAAAGTTTGGCCCGGCCGAACTTAATGTTTTTTTACTTGTTTCTTACTATTCTTCTAGGATGAACACAATGGACGTATAGGTCTCCGAGTGGAGCGGTTACCAAATGGTAAATTTTTTTGGGCGTTCTTATACCCTTATACCCTTTTTTGGGCGTTCTTATACCCTACCCCACATAGTAGTAGGGTAAAGGACGCCCAAAAAATCCTCCAAACCAAAATAATCGTCGTATCGGGAAGGCAATAAATGCTTAAAATTTCAAGATTCCAAGAAATATAAATCCGTAATTTTCAAAAAGAATGGAAGAGGGGGAACTTAAATCCTTTATTTAGGTTACTTTGTGATAAAAACTTTGAAAACGCCGATACACATGTCTTTTATTTTTAGCTCTACTTTTGTAAACAACTGGTGGTTTCCTGTAATTAGTGAAAGCATTGATTTTTGTCGCACAGTGTAATTGAAATAATTAAATTGTTTCCCGTAATTTGAGACACCTCTCAAAATAACTCTCTTCACTCGCTCTTTTGGGTTATCGAGCAACATTTTGTAATTATTTGTACAAATTATCTATTGATGGGTAAACGTCCTATATCCTCTTCAACTTATTTCCTTCGTTATAATCTGTGGAATATGTTTTAACAAAATATCACTAACAACCAACATTGTAACCTTTAACCTTATCTCATTGATGTAGTCTTTTTTTTAAAGTCATTTAACGAAAATGTAATCCCTCTATTTAATGCTATTTTGTTGTTGTTGTTTTTTATGTTCCGTTTTCCTATCTTCCATCTCCCGCTCTAGGTCGAACTGGAAAAACTCAATACAGCCACAGACAATATTAATAAATACGAAGTGGAACTTGATGTAAGTACTGTTGCCGGCATCCAACCGAACACATTCCTCTAACATTTATGTGGGATGTGGGAGGACAATTTAATTTTTTTTTGTTGCTGTACATATCACAAGAAACAAGAAATCTTTCCACAGAAAATATGACAAAATAATTTCATTTTATTTTCATGATGTTCATCATCACCATTGCCGTCTGGGCGAATGCTGGAAAAACAAAAAAAAAAAAAACGAACCAACTAACCAACCAAAGGAAGCCAAATGTGAGTTTAAACGAATTTTGGCCGAAAGTGTGGTTAGGATAAAACAGTCGGCACACAAGTTGGGCAATTCTATAGAGGCGGCTAAACCCTATTATGAATCCCGCATTTATGCTGCACAGGTGAGTGTGTAATGAGGTGTAAACAAGAAAATATATATTTTTGTTAAGCTGTGCGGAAGTGTGTGTGTGTGAAAATCGCTTCCTTTCTTTAGACTGCTGCTAATTTTAAAACCACATTAATTTTTTATGAATTTTTCTCTTTGTCCCGCGTCACCAGCTTGCCAAAGAAACCCAGTTGGCAGCAGCAAATTATGAAAAGGCCAAATCTATTCATGCAGCAGCCAAAGAAATGGTCTATTTAGCCGAACAGGGTCTGGGTGAGAAATCCACACTGGATACAGCCTGCCAGGAGATGCTAAGCCATGCCGCCAGTAAGTATGCTTATTTATAGTTCCTTCATAACTGCCGCCCCTCACCTCACTACACCCCACATATTGATGACGTTAAATTCCATCATATCCTGTTTACGTGACATGTTACCATAATTTGTTTACTTGTGTGTGTGTGTGTGTGCGCGCGTGGTAATGCGGCTTTGTTGTCCTGCTAATGTTATTTTCTTTCCTCATAGGCAAAGTCAATCAATCACAACTGGAGGTTACCGATGCTCGTAACTCGTTGAAAATGTGTCAATTGAAACTGGAAGTAGCCAATAATCGTGTGGGTAAATTACAGGGACAATTACGACAGGCCATCAAGGCGTCAAGGTGAGTGAGTTCGGAATGTGCGAAATACATTTTGTATTGATACCAATGTGAGTTTTATTTTTTTTTTTTGGTGAATGTGGGGCTATACGAAAACGTTGACCTATACATACCATGTTTCGCCAACGGAGCTAGAACCCATTGCGAACTACAAATATCAATTTTTAGACCAATCCGTGCAAAAATATGGCGAAACTCATCAAAATACCGAATATTGGGAGGGCTAAACGAAGACGTGGACCTGCCGAGACAATTTTCTGTCATAGGCTGTAGTATCCATTACGAACTTTAAATACCAATTTTGAAACAATACCATGTCGCTAAAATCATCAAAATACCGCATATCGGGAGGTAGCGTTGTATGTTTGTTTCGCCACCCATTACGAACTGCAAATACCAATTTTTGGACAAATCCGTGAAAAAGTGTGATTAAAATCATCAAACTACCGAATATCGGGAGGTACCGTCATATGGGGGTTATACCAAAACGTGGACCTATATATACTATGTTCCGCCACCGTGGCTAGAACTCATTACGAACTACAAATACCAATTTTTGGAAAAATCCGTGAAAAAGTGTGATTAAAATCATCAAACTACCGAATATCGGGAGGTACCGTCATATGGTGGCTATACCAAAACGTGGACCTATATATACTATGTTCCGCCACCGAAGCTAGAACTCATTGCGAACTACAAATACCAATTTTTGGACAAATTCGTGAAGAAATGTCGCAAAAATCATAAAAATACCGAATATCGGGAGGGGATCCAAAACGTGGATCTATATATACTATGTTCCGCCACCGGAGCTAGAACTCATTACGAACTACAAATATCGATTTTTTGACAAATTTGTGAAGAAAATGTCGCAAAAATCATAAAAATACCGAATATCGGGAGGTTCCGTTATATTTGGAGGCTATACCGAAACGTGGACCGATATATCTCATCTTCATACAAACCATCCTAGACACAATATAAATTGTTCTGCCAAATGTTGAAGCTCTATGTCAAATAATGTGGGATGTATCGTGACTTCAACAGACAGACAGGCGGAGATCGAAACAGAATTTTATGCTGAATAAAAATATAGAACAGTGTTGGCATGTTTGTTTGGGATACCATAGTATTTTGTTGTTGCAAAATAGTTAGGCTTAATCCCATTATTGTTGTTTTTATAAAAACAACGTTTTTTTATTAGTAAAGAATGATAGTAGAGACAGAGGTATATTCGAGCTGTATCTGATGTCCGATATTAAATATTATTGTTGTGGAGTGCACATTACGCATATGAGGAACTTAAACTACCAAGTCGGATGAAATATATGTATGGGAGTTTATCTATATCTGAACCGATTTTTTACCAAATTTGTAGTACTTACTTCTAGACTGAATTCGGTCGGAAATGCCACAATTCGCTCCAGGCGGATATTAGAAATTTGGTGCACAATAAACCTGATATCGGATAAAGATATATATATATAGCAGCAATATCCAAATCTGAACCGAACTCGATAAAATTTGACAAAGGTATTTCTGGGCTGTATCTAATATCTGGTACCAAAAATCATTGTTGTGGTGGGCATATTACGCATGTAAGGGACTTAAAAACACAAATCGGAAGAAACATATATACGGTAACTATAGCTATATCTGAACTGTTTTTCGCCAAATTTAAAGGACTTGTTTCTAGGATGAATTCCGTCGGATGTACCAAAATTCAGGTCATTTAGACCGATATTGGCCATTTGGTGCACAATAAACCCGAAATCGGTTTGAAGATATATGTGGAAGCTATATCCAAATCTGAACCGATCTTAATAAAATTTGGCGTAGGTGTTCTTGGGCTGCATCTGATGTCCGGTATCAAATATCATTGTTGTGGAGTGCATATTACGCATGTGAGGTATTTTAACACCAAATCGGATGAAACATATATATGGAAGTTATAGCTATATCTGAACCGATTTTTACCAAATTTGGTTTGCTTCTAGACTGGACTTATATTAGCCATATGGTGCACATTAACCCAAAATCGGTTGAAGATATATTGGAGCTATATCTAAATCTGATCCGATTATTACCAATTTCAAAAGAGGTCGTCCTTGGCCAAATAAATATTGTTTGCAAAATTTCATGTCAATCGAATAATAAGTACGGCCTGAATTTTGTTCACAAAAATACATGGATAGACGGCATTCATAAATCGACTCAGTGATTCTATGGAGATCCTTAAGAGCAACTATGGGTCTATCTCGCTTCCTTTTCAATGTTACAAACCAATGCACAAAGACATAATAATAACCGAACATTTCTAAAAATGTGGAGGGTTTAAATTTCTTTAAAATTATTTTTTGTGTTGCATATGGTTTTTATTATTTTTTTTTTTCAATACAGTTTAATTTATATTAATTTTATTGTTTGATTTATTTATTTATTTATTTTTTTTTTTTTTTTGATTTTTTTAGTTTCAATATTCGGCGAAATTTACTTTTGATTAATTTATTGGCTTATCAACATGATTTAAGTGATTTGTAAGTAGTTTGATTTTCGTTTCGAAGATATTACAAAAACCCGATATAATTACGATTTTCGACGTTTCTTTTCAGACCCTACTACGAGACGCGGGCTAACTACAACGGCATTCTGAAAACCCAAAAAGAGAAAATCAATAGCCTAGAGAATAAAGTGGCCGAGGCGAAAATGACCTACAATGAGGCATTGAAAAATCTCGAACAAATTTCCGAGGAAATTCATCGCCAGCGACAGCAGCAGCAACAACAACAACAGAATCTGATAAATTACGAAACCATGCTAAATCAAGCCGCCGATGATACAACGTCCACGTACACATCGTCCTCTGGTGAAATGGCAACATTTCAACAATTCTCCTGTGATATCGATACCAGTGATGAGTATCTCGAAATGCCCGATAAATTGAGCACAAATTCAAGTCCCATACGCCAACGGCATCCGGATGAACATGAATGTCCACATTTGTTAAGAGATTTTGAATCGGTTCTGACATTTCCTCAAAAAATCGCCGGTGGCATGCATAAATCGGCCAGCACCAGTAATACCAGTGATAATCTCTTTGCCCAGGCCCAGCGGCATGGTCCCTATGAGGTGAAATGTTCCTCCTCCATTGGCAGTGGTCAAAATTTGAACACAGACAATAGTTCAAGTACAGAAAAAGGTGGCGGCGGCGGTGGCGGTTTAATGACGGATAACGATGACAATGACATTGAGCAATGGACCGAAATACGCCTATCCCACTCGGAGAGCACAAGTTCCAGCTATTCGAATCAAAGTCTATTGCATGATCATGCCGATGGTGTGGCCGAAGATGCTCAATCCCACCATTCATCGTCTTCCTCCTCGGATGAGCCGAAACGTAAAGTGACCTGTACCACAATATTCCAGGAACAAGAGCAAATGAATCGCAAACAATCGCTTAGTCAGTGGTTGTCCCGTTCGAATAGCCTTAAAGTGGGTGGGCGAAGGCAGTCACTTGACCTGCTCATCGATGCCAGTGACAAGGTGAAAGATGTGTTTTCATTTGGTTTCCAAAAGGTAGGACGAACCCTGGAACGGCGCAACAGTGAATCGGAAATGAACAATGAATGCGGCGGTAATGGGACACAAAATGTCGGCAGCGGTATGTCGGGCGCCAACAACACATCCACTTCATCGTCCACCACATCGGCTGGTGATTTCTTTCTATTTGCCAGGTCAGTAGAAGAAGAAGAAGAAGCACAAGAAGGGGAAGAGGCTGACGCTCTTCGCCCATTACCGATCACAAGGCATGATTTAACACTTTTTCGCACTTTTACAAATTCTAGCCATACAAATACTAATAAACATACTACCACTACTACAACAACAACAACTCCAAAAACTAATAACAATTATGAAAGTAATACAAATAGAGCATTGCACAAAAAAACTGGACTATTTGGCGCTTTACAACATCATTTCACAAAACTGAAATAAAAAAATAAATAAATCAAATTTCCTTTCTTTTCCTAAATTTTCAAAATTTATTTGTTTTTTTATCAAATGTATTTTTGCCAATATCTGTGTGTTTCTTTTTCAATTCTTAGTATATTTTCTTACATTTTTTTAAAACTGAAACATAACAAAAACAAGAACAACAACAAGATTTATTCCCAAAAAGCAAAACACTTCCAAAACAAAAGACTCTTAACAACCTGATACCATCATCTCTCTATTGAATTTGTAACATTTCCTTCCCTTTTGTCATTTGAAATTCGAAATCCTGCTCTAAATTTTCTTCTTTTATCTGAGGCAAGTACTATTGATTGGCTTTTTTTATAATCTAAATGTGGTTGTTGGTTTATGTTTTATATTTTTTTTATTTTTATTAACATAAGTCCGAAATACCTACTTATATTGATGTCAATATGTAAATAAGCATTATGTATATTCAGCATGTTTTTTTTTTCTAATAATATGTTATTTACAATATCAAACAAGTAAAAAATCTAAGCTAAGGTCGGACTGGCCGAACTTTTTATACCCTCCATCATTTGGAAGAAACTGGAAAATGTTCCCAAAAAAAAAAAACCGTCGCTAAAATGAAAATCGTTATATTGGGGCTATACGAAGACGTGGATCTGCATAAGTAATTTTTGTCACAGGCTCTAGTAATAATTTCGAACTTCAAATACGAAACTTGAAATATTTCCGGTGAAAAATGTCGCTAATAATATGTGGGCTATACAAAGACCGGGACCTATATAGACAATTTTCCTTCATAGGTTGTAGTACCCAATCGCTAAAATCATTAAAATACCGAATATCGGGAGGTACCGTTATATGGGGGATATACGATATCGTGGACTTATGTAGACAATTTTCTTTCATGGGATAAAGAACTCACGAGGAAATCCTTATGTGGGTTTTCAAACAACTAGGTCTTTAATAGTGGTTACTTAAAATTATATTTTTGAAGGACCCTCGGAGCTATAATTGTGAGTTTTTAAAAAAATATTTCTTTGGCACACTCAGAGCTATAGCCATGAATGTTGTGCAGGTATACTTGGGTGATGAATTTCTATACCCTACAACACTATGTGTTGGGGGTATTATACGTTTGATTGGGCTAAAAATTATGTAACATCTCAAAATTATTGGTTTCCCATATAGGAATGTATATATGGATCTTCCTATCTCGTCGAGCTGAGTCGATCTAGCTATGTATATCCGTCCGTCCGTCCATCCATGTTAATTTGTAATCACTCTACAGTTGGCAATTATGGCCCGATCTTCACGAAATTTAGAATGGAGGTGGGGCTGCGACCAGAATAGAAGCCTATTACTTTTTGAGATGATCGCATAATATTTAGGAGTTGAAATGGACCAAAAACTGAGAAATTTCCTGATTTTGCAGTTGCTCTTGAAGTCGCATTTATACAGTGTTGCCCATATTCGACGGACCCATCTGGCAACGCCATAACTTTTGACAGAGATGTCACATCGCTTAATGACATAACGCGTTTGAAGCGTCAGTCCAAGCTGATTTTTATCATGAACCAATACACGCCACGCAAGCGCTCTGAAATAGTTGAAATTTACATTCAACAGAAGAAGTCAATTGTGAAAACTCAACGTGCTTTTAAAAAATTAAAAAAATGTGAGAATTGCGCCTTCTAAGAACACCAGTAAGCGTTTATACGAAAAATGTTCGACTGGTAAGACTCTTTCTAATCCGAAGAGGCCATATAAAAGTCGACCAAGGCGATCGGCCGAGAATATCGCTGCCGTACGAGCCAGTGTTGAGAGGTCCCCAAGAACATCCCAAAAACGCCGTTCTCAGCAGTTGGACATGGCTCGGTCCACTTTACAACGGATTATTCGCATTGATTTGCATTTGTTCCTGTACAAAATTCAATTGACGCAAAGAATGTTGCCTGCGGACAAGCCTCGTCGATTGGAATGGGCCCAAAGAGTCATCGAAATGGCCGAAGATGACGAGCAATTTTGGAAAAAAATTATCATGTCCGATGAAGCCCATTTCGCATTGAATGGGACCGTAAATAAGCAAATTTGCCGTTTTTACGCCACTGAAAATCCTCAGGAGATTCAAGAAGTGCCTCTTCATGACGAAAAAGTCACAGTTTGGTGCGGCGCTAATGCGAAAACGGTCATTGGGCCGTTTTTCTTCCAAAATGAAAATGGCAATGCTGTTACCATCAATCAGGAGCGTTATCGCGACATGATGACCAATTTTGTGATGTCAATTATTCGTCGAAAGCGTATGAGGCAGTTCTGGTTTCAACAAGACGGCGCTCCACCGCACACAAGTCGCATAACAATCGATTTTCTGAAGAATTTGTTTCCGGGCCGTTTGATGTCGAAAAGTGGTGATTTGGACTGGCCACCGCCCGATTTGACGCCGCCTGACTTCTTCTTGTGGGGATATTTGAAGTCAAAGATTTACGTTAACAAGCCAAGGACCGTAGAAGAGCTCAAGGACAACATTCGTGAAGAAATAGCCGCTATTCCGGCCGAAATGTTAGCAAAAACGATGGAAAATGCAGCAAAAAGGGCACAATACGTCATTAACGCCAGAGGCGGCCATTTGACAGATATCATATTCAAAAATTGATGTAAACAAATCTACTTGGAACAAATTAAATGATTAACATTGCCAACCGCCAAATTTTTCTTTGGTTAAAAAAAAAACATGGGTCCGTCGAATATGGGCAACCCTGTAGACCAATCGACGCAGAAGTTAGTATGGGGCTAGAGCTTAGGGCTGGGTAGAAGACTTCCAATTTTGATGGTCATAGGGTAATATTTAATGGGTGAAAGAGACCATAACATTTGCCTTAAATAAAAGTCAAAATTTCCATTAAACCGCGAATATTTTTAATCCCGGCGAAATCACAAATAGACGAACAGGTCAATTCCGACCGTTACATAGATGCCGATGGTAAATATATCGGATATGTATAGCGTATATACAAAGGATGGGGATATAAGCTAGAATGCTTATATCTCTAGAATGGCTGGAGCGATTTTGACAAATTTTATCAATTCAGAATGCCCTCTTGGCGGGCAGATTGGAACACTATATTTTGTGAAAAATACGAAAATTTCCATTCTACCGAAACTCTAAAAATAACTTACAGGCGATATTCAAAATACACAAAAAGGCGAATTTCTGGCTTTTTATGCTGATTTCGTTGACGAATGTAACCAAATATCGTAGGCAAGCAAATCATATGGATGAGTCTAAATTTGGCAATACAGTAAAACCTCTTGCATTTGAAGATGATCGCAAAATATTTAGGGGTTCAAATGAACCACAAACAAACAAAAAAAATCCTGATCACACAGTTGAAGCCAATCGACACGCCAGAGGAGAGAGTTAAGGACAGGGAAAAATTCTAGCATTTTCGATGACCATTGGATTATATTTAGCTGTCGTTCTCGATAAAATTTGGCAAAGTTATTTCCGAGCTCATTGTTGTCGAATGCATATTACGCATGTGAGGTACTAAAAACCAAAAATCAGATGAAACATATATGTGGGAGCTATAGCTATATCTGAACGGTTTTTCACTAAATTTGATGTACTTGCTTCTACACTGAATTCGGTCGGATGTGCCAAAATTCAGTAAATTTGGACTGATATTGGTTATATGGGGCACAATAAACCTGAAACCGGATAAAGATATATATGGGAGCTATATCTAAATTTGAACCGATTCTCACCAATTTCAATAGGATTCGTCCTTGGGTCAAAAAAATGTTTTTTGAAGAAGTTCACGAAAAATACATGAACAGACGGACTGGCATTAAATCGGCTCAGAAAGTGATTCCATGGAAATCCTCAAAAGTAACTATGGGTCTATCTTGCATCACTGTTTTTAAAACTTTTTTATAGAACAGTGACGAGATCGTAAGCTCAATAGAAGAGGAACCAAAAAATTAAATAAAGCAAAAATTCTTTTGGAAAATCTTCTAAATCTTACAACCGCACTTATAAACATTTACATCTTTCTCCACTTGTTATGCTGTCTCCTCTTCTTCCTCCTTTTCTATTAAGCTTACAGTCTCGTCACTTGAAATAGAAGTTATTTTTAAAATAACTTCTGGGGAGAATATCCCAGACAAAAAACAAGGGAACTGATGAGAATTGGTGGCTCTTTCCGAAACCTAGGTATTCCCTGGCTTACCCCCTGCTAAACATTACCATCGTTCTCCACTAATAAACAAACGTTGTTTTTATAAAAACAACAATAAAGTAATTAAGACTGACCATTTTGCAACAACAACAAAAACTTGGTTATTCTAAAACAATGATAAACACTTGTAGTCGATGTTTCCATTTTAAAACAAGTAAACAAAGTCGTGTGGGGCCGACCATCTGATACCCTACAACTCTATAATATATTGGAAAACCTCTTAGATCCAAACACATTTTAGTCGATTATTTAAAATTATGTTATACAGTCCCGCACAAATGTTATCTCTGGTTTTTTTATATATGCTCTCGTGTTGATAGGTATCCATAACAATTTCACACAAAAGTTGTGGTCCATTTTACCCGCTTGGTATCAAGGGTCGTCCAAAATACTACACTTCTGCGCTTTTCTGAGCCTTAATCTTATGCAAAATTCCGTCAGGATGGGTTTTTAATTGTGACCTGTAGAGCCACTTCAAGCTCGGGAAAGTTTTAATTTTTTGGGTTCATTTGAACCCCTCAATATACATCATGAAAAATATTCGTGTTTTATTTTAACCTAACCCTATGCAAATGCAAAATTTCTTGAGAATCGGACTACTAATTGCGACTTGAATAGGATACTCCCAAAACATAGTGCTGTAAAGTAAAAAAAAAATGTTACCAAATATAAAATTCAATTTGTAAGTCAAATATAAAAAAAAATCGCATGCTATAAAAAGTATGACAAAAACAACTTAAAAAGTCGTAAGTTCGGCCGGACCGAACTTTGAATACCCTCCACCATTTGGAACGAATTTAGAAATTTTCAAAAAACAAAATCCGTTAATAACTCTGTTAAAATCTTAAAAATGCCGAATACCGTTATATTGGGGGCTATAAGACGTACATAGGCATTGTTTGTCATAAGCCATTATCATATTCAAATTCGAAACTTGAAATAAACGGTAAATAATGTAGCTAAAATCATTCAAAATATCGTATATAGGGAGGTGCCGTTTTATCGGAGCTGTGCAAAGACCTGAAACAACATAGACAATTTTCTGCCATAGGCTGTAGCATCCATTTCCAACTTCAAATAAACTCGTCAAAATACCGAATATAGGGAGGAACTGGTATGTGGGGCCTATACGAAGGATTGGACCTGCATAGACAATTTTCTGTCACAGACTGTAGTATCCATTACGAGCTCTAAATACGTAATTTGAAACTATTCCGGTGAGTAATGGCTGTAGTATCCATTTCGAACTTCAAATGCCAAATTTGAAACAATGCCGGTGAATAATGTCGCTAAAATCATCAAAAATACCGAATATCGGGAGGTACCGTTATATGGGGCTATATGAAAACGTGCACCTACATGGCCCATTTACGAACATAACCTGCCTTCTTGAAAAGTAAACAATTGTGCCAAATTTTAGCCTTCTATTTCAATTCGTTTGAAAGATAGCGAAATTACAACAGACAGACAGACGGACAGACGGACATCGCTAAATCGACTTAGAATTTTACGCTGATCAAGAATATATATACTTTGTTGGGTCTGACATGAGTATTTCGAGGAATTACAAACGGAATGACAAAGATAATGTACCCTTCATAGTAATATTCACTTTTTATTGTCATATTATTAGGCGATTTTCTTAGATTTTATCCTTTCCCAAATTTGTGTAGATTGTCAAAATCCGCCCAGACGTTCCTGAGTTATAAGCGGTCTAACTATTTTGGATATGAGCATCAAATTCCGCGCAAATGAGCATCGAATTCTACAACCTGTAGAGCAACTACAAAATCAGGAATTGTTTCTGTTTTTGTTTTATTTCAATTAAATATTATGCGATCATCTCCAAATACAATAGGCTGCTATTATGACCCCACCTTCATTTTCATTTTCGTGAGGATCGGGTCATAATTGCGACCTGTACAGTGATTACAATTTAACATAGATCAACTCAGCTCGGCGAGATGGGAGATCCATAATAATTTTTGGCCTAATCAAACTTATAATACCCCCAACCTTGTAATACCCCCATACCTTGTAGGGTATATTATCACATTTGATGAGAAAAAAACTAAAGTGAAACATTTCTCATCTTTAGCACGTTGTAACTAGAAAAGTGAACAACGTATGACTTTGAAATGTTCGGTACTGAAGCAGAATTTTGTGTTCTATAATAATTTATAAAAATTTATTCCAATTTATAAAAATTTATTCAATTATTGTCCGTTTTTTGTGGTTTCACTCCTCTGTGCGTCGTTGAGATACTCCGCAAAGTCGACCAGTTTTAGGAGAATGCCCATATTTTACTACACAAAAGTGCAAAACTTCTTAATTCCCCAAATTTTAATGCTGAGTATACATAATAGCTTGCAAATAACAGGACATACATAATCTTAGTTTATGTGTAAATAATATATAATCAATAAAAAGTATTTTATTTTTTTTTAGATCCGAACCCAAAGAGCTATTGTCCGACGAACAAGTTGAGAATCTTCTACTTAGCCATTCCGTGGATGAAAATGGCACAATAATTGTGGAAGAGCTGAAATCGCCACTGCAGCAGCCTACAGGCAATAAATATGGAGGCGGCATACCATCGCTTTTAGTTTAAATATTATTATTATTATTTTTTTTATTAATTTCTAGGCTTATTAAATATAATTGTTTACTTGAAATAAACACTCGATTGTACATTTAAGAAAACATATCAAAATTAGCACTGGAAAACAATTATTATATTTTAGTTTTTTTTTTATTTAAACCCAAGCGGACTATTGAGAATTTCTCGATTTTTGGAGAGATTTATTTTATGTTTTAGATTTGTGAATAAAAAAAAAACTCGGCAGTGGTCTGCAAGAATAATAATTTAGAGATGAGTAGACTTTTTTAGCCAAAAATGATGTTCGTTGTTCACAGAGTTTCAAGACAAAACGGGGGAAGAGATGAAACTTCAGTTCACGAAACCTGATTAATTTGTGATATTTCAAATGTTGCAGTCGCATTGTTATGTCAACATTAAAGAAAAAAAAGAAATGTAACATTATTTTATTTTTTTATATAAACAAATTTTAATTTATTTTTATACAAAAAAAATTGAGAGTTTTTTAGTTTTATTTTTTTAAATATAAATATTGAAAGGTAATAGGTCATGGCGTATTTGATAAATTATTTGTAATTTCTACTTAATATTTTGACATAATTTATTCCAAAAAGTTTGTAACCATGGCTCAGTGTTCCAAGGGACTTTTTAAAACCAAATGAAATATCAACATTTGTTTCTTGTACTGGAGAAGGGTTTCCAAATTTCACTTATTAATTATGCCATGATCCATAACCGATCTCAAAAAATACACAAATCTTTTGAAGCAGCAGAAAAAAGGCGAACAAAAACTTTACGTATTTTTAATTGTGACTTAGAATTTTAACGCAATATTTAAAACAAAAAATAAGAATGAAACCCATACTCACAAATAAACAATTGATATTAGCGTACATTTACATACAAAAAATGCATTGAAACAGATTTTGAGATACGGATGTTTGTTAGTGAAATTTAAAAATAAAATAAAAAAAAACAATTATTGCCTGACAAAGTAAAAAAGTTGGTTAAAGAAACCGCAAAAAAAAAAAACTCAGAAGACATTTTTCCAAAAACCAAAAATATTAATACGCATAAAAAAATATAATTAGTAGCAAACAATAAAACTGAATTAAATTATATATTATTCAATTATGTATTAGTGAATAAAATAAATATTTGAAGAATTATACAAAAGAAATAAATTAATTGAAAAAGACTACTTTATGGTGTTTTTTTTAATTTAGGTGCTGATCACAAATAAAAAACGCCGAAAACTCAATATAATAGCTATCAAGTTAAAAAGCAGGAAGTTCGGTCGGGCCGAACTTTGAATACCCTCCACAATTTGGAATGAATTTGGAAATTTTCAAAAAACAAACTCCTTAAAAAATTCTGTTTAAATTTTTAAAATACCGAATATATCCGTTTTCTTGGGGTCTATATGACATGGACCTACAAAGGCATTGTTTGTCATAAGCCATTATCATATTCAAATTCGATAACTTGAAATATACGGCGAATAATGACGCTAAAATCATCAAAATATCGTATATAGGGAGGTAGCGTTATATCGAAGCTGTGTAAAGACCTGGACCAGCCAGACAATTTTCTGTCAGAGGCTGTAGCATCCACTACGAAGTTTAAATACGACATCTCAAACAATATCGGTGAGTATTGCGCCTAAACTCGTCAAAATACCGAATATGGGGAGGTACTGATATATAGGGCCTATACGAAGACGTGGACCTGCACAGACAATTTTCTGTCATAGGCTGCAGTATCTATTACGAACTTCAAATACCAAATTTAAAACAATTCCGGTGAATAATGTCGCTAAAATCATCAAAATACCGAATATAGGGAGGTACTGATATATGGGGGCTATATGAAGACGTGAACCTGCATAGACAATTTTCTGTCATAGGCTGTAATATCCATTACGAACTTCAAATACAAAATTTTAAACAATTCCGGTAAATAATGTCGTTAAAATCATCGAAATACCGAATGTCGGTAGGAACCATTATATGGGGGCTATACGAAGACGTGGTCAATGCGCAGACAATTTTCCGTCTTATGCTGTAGTATCCATTACGAATCTCAAAACACCACATTTGAAACAATTCTGGTGAACAATGTCGCTAAAGTAATTAAAATACCCAATATTTGGAAGTACTGTTTTTGGGGTTATGCGAAAACGTGGACCTGCACAGAAAATTTTCTGTCTTACGCTTAAGTATCCATTACGAACTTTAAATACCAAATTCGAAACAATTCCAGTAAATAACGTCGCTAAAATCATCAAAATACCGAATATCGGGAGGTACCGTAGATGGGGGCAATACCAAAACGTGGAACTACATTTTCAATACCAAAAGTCGTGCAGACATAATATACATTTGAGTAAAATTTTATCAATCTTCTTCAATTCGTTCAGAAGCTAGAGTGATTTCCACAGACGGACGGACGGACGGACAGACAGGCAGACGGACACGCGGACGGACCTCGTTAAATCGACATAGAATTTTATACTGATCTAGAATATATATACTTTGTGGGGTCTAAAATGTGTATTGCGAGGTGTTGCAAACGGAATGAAAAACTTAATATACCCTCCATACTATGGTGGAAACTCAATATTTAAGGAGTTATGGCCATTTTAAAGTTTTTGATAATTCATGCTACAAGAAGTGATCACAAAAAATAGCTAGAAACGCCGAAAACTCATTATTTAAGGAGTTATGGCCATCTTAAAGTTTTCGAGAATTAATGCTTAAAAAAGTGGTCACAAATAATAGCTAAAAAGGTCGAAAACTCAATATTTCAGGAGTTATGGACATTTTAAAGTTTTTGACAATTCATGCCCAAATAGCTGACCACAAATAATAGCTAACAACTCAATATTTAAGGAGTTATGGCCATTTTAATGTTTTCGATAATTCATGCCCAAATAACTGATCACAAGTAATAGCTAAAAACGCCGAAAACTCAATATTTAAGGAGTTATAATAGCTAAAAACGCCGAAAACTCAATATTTAAGGATTTATGGCCATTTTAAAGTTTTCAATACTTCATGCCCAAATAACTGATCACAAATAATCGCTAAAAACGCCGAAAACTCAATATTTAAGGAGTTATGGCCATTTTAAAGTTTTCAATAATTCATGCTTAAAAAAGTGATCTCAAATAATAGCTAAAAACGCCGAAAACTCAATATTTAAGGAGTTATGGCCATTTTAAAGTTTTCTATAATTCATGCTTAAAAAAGTGATCACAAGTAATAGCTAAAAACGCCGAAAACTCAATATTTAAGGAGTTATGGCATTTTAAAGTTTTCAATAATTCATGCCCAAATAACTGATCACAAATAATAGCTAAAAACGCCGAAAACTCAATATTTAAGGAGTTATGGCCATTTTATAGTTTTCGATAATTCATGCTTAAAAAAGTGATCACAAATAATAGCTAAAAACGCCGAAAACTCAATATTTAAGGAGTTATGGCCATTTTATAGTTTTCTATAATTCATGCTTAAAAAAGTGATCACAAGTAATAGCTAAAAACGCCGAAAACTCAATATTTAAGGAGTTGTGGCCATTTTAAAGTTTTCGATAATTCATGCTTAAAAAAGTGATCACAAATAATAGCTAAAAACGCTGAAAACTCAATATTTAAGGAGTTATGGCCATTTTAAAGTTTTCAATAATTCATGCCCAAATAACTGATCACAAATAATAGCTAAAAACGCCGAAAACTCAATATTTAAGGAGTTGTGGCCATTTTAAAGTTTTCTATAATTCATGCTTAAAAAAGTGATCACAAGTAATAGCTAAAAACGTCGAAAACTCAATATTTAAGGAGTTATGGCCATTTTAAAGTTTTCGATAATTCATGCTTAAAAAAGTGATCACAAATAATAGCTAAAAACGCCGAAAACTCAATATTTAAGGAGTTATGGCCATTTTAAAGTTTTCAATAATTCACGCCCAAATAACAGACCACAAATAATAGCTAAAAACGCCGAAAACTCAATATTTAAGGAGTTATGGCCATTTTAAAGTTTTCAATAATTCATGCCCAAATAACTGATCACAAATAATAGCTAAAAACGCCGAAAACTCAATATTTAAGGAGTTATGGCCATTTTAAAGTTTTCGATAATTCATGCTTAAAAAAGTGATCACAAATAATAGCTAAAAACGCCGAAAACTCAATATTTAAGGAGTTATGGCCATTTTAAAGTTTTCAATAATTCACGCCCAAATAACTGATCACAAATAATAGCTAAAAACGCCGAAAACTCAATATTTAAGGAGTTATGGCCATTTTAAAGTTTTCGATAATTCATGATTAAAAAAGTGATCGCAAATAATAGCTAAAAACGCTGAAAACTCAATATTTAAGGAGTTATGGCCATTTTAAAATTTTCAATAATTCATGCTTAAAAAAGTGATCGCAAATAATAGCTAAAAACGCCGAAAACTCAATATTTAAGGAGTTATGGCATTTTAAAGTTTTAAATAATTCATGCCCAAATAACTGATCACAAATAATAGCTAAAAACGCCGAAAACTCAATATTTAAGGAGTTATGGCCATTTTAAAGTTTTCGATAATTCATGCTTAAAAAAGTGATCACAAATAATAGCTAAAAACGCCGAAAACTCAATATTTAAGGAGTTATGGCCATTTAAAAGTTGTCGATAATTCATTTAAAGTTTTCAATAATTCATGCCCAAATAACTGATCCCAAATAATAGCTAAAAACGCCGAAAACTCAATATTTAAGGAGTTATGGCCATTTTAAAGTTTTCGATAATTCATGCTTAAAAAAGTGATCGCAAATAATAGCTAAAAACGCTGAAAACTCAATATTTAAGGAGTTATGGCATTTTAAAGTTTGAAATAATTCATGCCCAAATAACTGATCACAAATAATGGCTAAAAACGCCAAAAACTCAATATTTAAGGAGTTATGGCCATTTTAAAGTTTTCGATAATTCACGCCCAAATAACTGATCACAAATAATAGCTAAAAACGCCGAAAACTCAATATTTAAGGAGTTTTGACCATTTTAAAGTTTTCAATAATTCATGCCCAAATAACTGATCACAAATAATAGCTAAAAACGCCGAAAACTCAATATTTAAGGAGTTATGGCCATTTTAAAGTTTTCGATAATTCATGCTTAAAAAAGTGATCACAAATAATAGCTAAAAACGCCGAAAACTCAATATTTAAGGAGTTATGGCCATTTAAAAGTTGTCGATAATTCATTTAAAGTTTTCAATAATTCATGCCCAAATAACTGATCACAAATAATAGCTAAAAATGCCGAAAACTCAATATTTAAGGAGTTATGGCCATTTTAAAGTTTTCGATAATTCATGCTTTAAAAAGTGATCACAAATAATAGCTAAAAACGCCGAAAACTCAATATTTAAGGAGTTATGGTATTTTAAAGTTTTCAATAACTCATGCCCAAATAACTAATCACAAATAATAGCTAAAAACGCCGAAAACTCAATATTTAAGGAGTTATGGCCATTTTAAAGTTTTAAATAATTCATGCCCAAATAACTGATCACAAATAATAGCTAAAAACGCCGAAAACTCAATATTTAAGGAGTTATGGCCATTTTAAAGTTTTCAATAATTCACGCCCAAATAACTGATCACAAATAATAGCTAAAAACGCCGAAAACTCAATATTTAAGGAGTTTTCGATAATTCATGTTTAAAAAAGTGATCACAAATAATAGCTAAAAACGCCGAAAACTCAATATTTAAGGAGTTATGGCCATTTTAAAGTTTTCAATAATTCATGCCCAAATAACTGATCACAAATAATAGCTAAAAACGCCGAAAACTCAATATTTAAGGAGTTATGGCCATTTTAAAGTTTTCGATAATTCATTTAAAGTTTTCAATAATTCATGTCCAATTAACTGATCCCAAATAATAGCTAAAAACGCCGAAAACTCAATATTTAAGGAGTTATGGCCATTTTAAAGTTTTCAATAATTCATGTCCAATTAACTGATCCCAAATAATAGCTAAAAACGCCGAAAACTCAATATTTAAGGAGTTATGGCCATTTTAAAGTTTTCGATAATTCACGCCCAAATAACTGATCACAAATAATAGCTAAAAACGCCGAAAACTCAATATTTAAGGAGTTTTGACCATTTTAAAGTT